ATAAGCATAAGCAAATGCATAAGGAAATGGACCAATCAATATTCCTTATGCTTATGCGTTATGCTTTATGCAAAAGTCTGTGCTCCGGCCATTAGTTTACACCGATTGTTTAGTACGCATACCAAGTACTAAATCTGCTTCTTCGATAGGTATAAATTGTTTAGTGTAAAATCTACACCAATCAAAGAAGCAAATTTAATACTTGGTACGCGTATTAAACAATCGGTGTAAAGTAAGCCATTGGTCTTGTACATAAAATTGATATTTGAAAACACTGAAATATATACATACTGGAATGAATGAGTACATGCTACGTATGTATGTATGTATGTATGTACGTAGCATGGCAGCATATATGTAATATTCTATATTGCTGATTGAACTCGAGAATTTAAGAAAACATTACAGTGCGGATGATATTCGTCTCTCACTCTAGAGCAGACTAATGGCTCTTACAGCAGGATGCGGTAAGGGCCACGATGTAAGAATATAGTAAGGGCCTATCCAGACAAACTTGCATAGTCGCATAAACATATGCATAAGAAATTGGTCCATAAGCAAATGCATAAGAAATGGACCAATCAATTTCCTTATGCATATGTTTATGCGACTATGCAAGTTTGTCTGGATAGGCCCTAAGTGCCCTAAGGGTTGTTAATTTAAAAGTAATAATTTTCAATAGCGCAGCCATTATTTCCAGAGTATCTAACTTTACAGTTGAGAGTCGCGCATGTGCAATATGTACGCTATTGAAAATCATTATTTTGTTATAATTAATATATAATCCATCAACAATCATTCTAAAAGGCACAATTGGAACCAACAATCAATTTTCTATCGATTTGATGCGTAAAAATTTTTAAAAAATTAAAAATTTTTATTAGATAGGCTAATATTATATTGATATTTATTTTGTTAATCCCTCCACATTAAAAGGAGAAAGATAAACTCTGAACTAGTGCAGCCAGTTTAGCTATAAAGTACAAATCTAAGGCCGAATTCCCACTGAGCGCGTCACGCGTCGGCGTCATCCGTCGCGTCACAAATCAACCAATCAAAACATCCCATTTTATTAGCGCGGCAAATAATG